ACCTCATGTTAAACATGTTACGTATCAGTTTGGACTGTTTATTGAACATTCTTGCAATAAATTCAGTAAAAAAAAATTGCTTGTGACATCTGACCAAATGTATCGCAATATATCGTGATTTATCGTATCGTCTCCTCTGTATCGTGATATGCATCGTATCACCAGAATTTCAAAAATACACATCCCTGGTGAGAACCCTCCAAAATACCCTCCATCTAAACTGCAACCAAACATCACGTTCATCCTGTAGTGCAGATAACACTATGAAGCAGGGCAAATACTGAAATGACCAACGACAGCTACTTGAGGACCCAAACACCACAAACACACAGATACACACTCAGACGGCAGTCAGTTCAGAGCTGGTGACATGGGTCAGTGCTTGTGGGGGAAACAGAGCTCAAGTGAAGCGAGAGCAGGGGGCTCCGTCACGGATTTGGCATCACTCTATGCTCACAGGCGTAGAGCAACAAGGGAGAATCTGCAGCTGCACATACACGTGAGTTAGTCTGGAACCCCGAGTGGACAGGTAGACTGTCATAACGTTACCAAAAACATGTATGCATCATCAAGATGCAAGTGTATTTGCTTCCATTAACAACCATGCAACTATGTCTTTGCGAAACGTGTGAATAACCTTTGCACTGTGCAGTGAGAGGTCAAATGCCACAGCTAAGGAAGAGGATCTGGAAAAAAGCTATACGAGTGAGTAAGAGGTCAAGGTACCATCAAGGACACTAAAGCAGCGCCTAAAAGGACCACACGGCCTTTGGAGGGGAAGAAGCTGCCAACATCCATCTGCGTGCATTTCACTTCCCTTCATCTCTGCTTTCAGTGTCCTTCCCACTCTTTAAGTATGGCAGGCAGCCCCTGCCTCCAGAAAATAATGGAATAAAAAAAGTAGCATTCCTCCCGCCTCCCTGAGGCAGGGTAGTCCATGCAGGAAGGTAAACATGTCCACTGTCGTGAGCTCAGACCACACGGATGCTTCGCTTCAGGTGATGGTCGTCCTCCACAGCTCTCTGCCCACCAGCAACATCTCAGCGTGTACACTAGCTTGTGTCTGAACAGATTTCTGCTTCACTGCCAAATCGTCCGACCTCAAGCAAGGACATCTGTGGATTTGACGGGAAGGTTGATTCAAATCAGGGTCAACAGTTCGACCTACAATACCTGGCTGATGGCGGATTTTCTGTCTGAAAAGCATCACCTTGTCGATTTTTATAGTTATGATTTTCTTTGTAAAGAAACATTTGATTAAATAGGTTGGAACTCATTTTGAAGGCTTGGTAAGATCTCAGACAAAAGACAAACCAGTCTTAATTAAAACTGTTGAGGTAGAGAAGAGACAATCAATGTCAGTGGAGATCAGAGAAGTTTGTTGCTTTGACAGTAAGTTACTCCTTAAAAAAAACCTGAGGTAAAACTTGGAATTAGCCATTGCCACCGCTGGCACTAGTTAGCTAGTTTAACTAACTTGGGGTGGACTGCCCACTCCGGGTCGGGAAGGGGTTCTGCCTCAGGTGGAGGAGTTAAAGTACTTTGGTGTGAGGAGAGGACAGAGAGGGAGAATGACAAGTGGACTGGTGCAGCATCTGCAGTGATGAGGTGACCAGATCGGCTCGGGCCCAGTGCCTGTCCATGCTATCATATTACATTATTGGCACGATGATTTTGTTTGGGTCAGACAAGTTCCGGAAGTTCCGTTGGCCCGTATCATGCTCGGAACACCACGGAACACCAGATCTGCACAGGGTGGTACTTTTCATGGGTTGCCCTTCTTCTTAAGAAACATGGAAGACTTTAACAAAGAAATACATCTTTACCTTCCTAGCTGATATTTGGTCCAATAAAGAGTACCAGACTACATGCCATAAATAAATAACATGATCAATATACACAAATTAATTTACTCACATCTGGTTTGGAGGAACTTTATGGTTTTTAAATAACTTTGTGGAATGAAAGCAAGTATACAACATAAGAACAATTGAATGACCACAATATAATCCTAAACCCATGCATGCAAACCTTCATGGTTATGAAATGTTTTGAGAGCCTTGTTGTTAATAGTGTCTAATACTGATTTTAGTGATTAGCTGGGTAAACAAATGAGGCGTAGTGTGACGTCATTGGCCAGCTCATCAGGTTTCTACACTGATTCGTTGTGGTGAACAGAGGGAGGGAAGGTGAAGATTTCCATCTTCCTTAGCGATGGATGTGAGCTTTTAGTAACGACTTGAAGAACAGGTGACCAAAATGGCTGACACAGATTCTCTGCAGGCCTGGGAAACCTTTGGGATCCACTGCAGGGACAGTCTGACCTTCCTTGTTAGAGGCCAGCATAAGCAGAAGACCATGAAATGGGACCAGTTAACATGGACTAAACGTGTTTTAGACTTCTTTTTTCTTGCATCAATCTACATCCGTCAGCATTAACAGATTATAGGGAAAACAGTTTAGCTGAACCCTGTTTTCCACCAACCAAACCCCAACGACTCCACGATGATTTTCAACTTCCGCACACACCTGGAAACCTTAATCTTGAGTCACTTCGACACTTAGACAGAAAAACTCTTAATTTGGTTTCAACTTGGGTAAAAAATGTTTAAAGAGACATTATGGAAGTGTGACAGCCAAAACATGTATAGAAATAATAAATGTCTTCTTCATACATTCTCCTGCAATGCCCTGGTCCTGTAGAATGAGCCCTGGCATTTTTACTGTGATTGCCTGTTTTTCTGTAAAATCACAGAAAAAGAGAGATGCTCGGGTCGAGCAGGCTGCTTCATGCGCGTTCACGCTCAGGCATCGCCCGTAGCATTTGCTATCCGTAGCTTTAGCAGCAGAGAGAGAGGCAGTGCCACTTTGTCGCTGTTCCTAACGCCTAGTGACAAAGCTAGCTACATTTCTGAGGACCCTTAGCTACTTTCTGTAGAACTTTCTTCTAGATATTTCCTGCAAATTAGCAACAAAATAGCCATTTTCACTCCGAACCGTTCTTTGAACGTTGTTTCAGCTGTCATCAAGGATATAAAAGTTACAGATACAAAAGACATCACTGGCGCTTTAGCTCACCTAGTAAGATGTCTGACTCTCAAGCAGAAGACCTGGGTTTGATTCTGGATGTGAACATAGTTTATTTAGAGTTTATTTTTTTACATTAATGGTATATTTTTTTACAGTAAGATGCCCAAATTTTTATTTGAGACTCGCCGAACGGCATTGAATTCACAGATAAAAAAGATGTGGGTTCAACTTTCATTTTGGAACAATTTTTCAAGCAAGGGAAGGGAATGATCTGAGCATGCAGGAGGACTGACCCATCATAAACCTTTGTCGCTGTGCTGAAGAGAAAGGTACAGAACCACATTATTTAATTAATTAGCTGCACGTTCTCCTGTCCTCTGGGCCACACACACACACACACACACACACACACACACACACACACACACACACACACACGGGACTGTCTCAGCTGTTATTTTCGTTAAGGAGTGTGCACGTACAGCATGCGTGCCTCGTGCACGAGCCTACTATTGAAGCTGCCGTTACGCTTTTGGCCTGAGGGGGCAATCACGAGCATAAAAATTCAAAAGTCCGAAAAGTCCCTTTAAAGCAGTCATCCAAAACGGCATGTGTACATTGTAATGTACCGAGTCTGAATGACATTTTCTTTAACAAACTTGGAGCTCCATTGCTTCTTTACACGGGGATTATATAGGGTACATGCATGCACTCAGTCAGAAGGGACTGCAGGAATACATTAATTACACTTCAGCTGCTCTACAACACTATGGAATATGTTGCAGAGCAGAAATGTGCAATGCATGTCAACAACTGACACTAGACTGCACACACACACACACACACACTGACAGAAGCAACTGCATGACAACTGTCAGAATGAAAATTCAGGTCATCGGTTTTGGGATGCAGTCCAGTCCAGCTTATATGCAGCACAGTCCCGTTCCTCTGTAATGCGTAGGTGGACAAGGTGTGGGCTGATGATGTTCATTACTTTCCTCTCTTCAAGTCTTCAAGCACTCCCTTAGCGAGACTATGTATACCCCAGCTGCCAAATACAGCACAATACTGTGAGCGCATATAGGTGTGCAGCAGAAAAGAATGATAAGAGTGACAGGAATATTAATACACATCCAAGATTTGGTCTATTAAAAATAAAACACCAAATACTTAGACTTGTTTGACAATTTAGTTTCCCTGCTTGTGCAGCCATAACCACGCCGGTCAAAGGTCAATGAGTAGCGCCTCGTTTCTGCAAGTGACGGCAAGCGTGTCTAAGAGATCAAATAATTATATCACTAATAGTGCTTCCCTCAGGGCTTGGTTTCATTCTTTTTACAGAGGGGGCTAAAAGCAGACTAGGGCAAACATAAATTAAATAAAATTCCCAGCACAAGTGGGAATATGTGAAGTGTGACTGAGCTGAGACCATTTACAAACAGCCGACCGAGACACGTCTCAGGGCTTGAGGTCTGACAGATAAAAGGGACAAATGCTGATGATGGGTGCTGTTTTCTGTATGTTTGCCATCACTCTCTTTCACAAACGGAGGCCAGGCTGGATGAGGCCAAAACGCTGTGGCCTCCGGCGCTCTCCAGCGAGAGTAGAGACAGTATACATCTAGAAACGGAGTGTGTTTTCAGGCTCCACCGCCTGCAGACACCAACACAGTTCAGAGTAGATCGACATTGACGGCTTCCTGATTAGTCAACTCGCTGCCCCTCCACATCGGGGTCCGCACACAAACACTCCGCTGCACCGGAGTTCATCTAAATAAATCCCACTTATGTCGCAGCAAACATTCAACAACACACAGATGTAAACAAAGAAACACTCGTAATAGCAGAGGACAGCTCGTGTAATGACCAACAACCTCTAGGTCTGCTGCACCGTCTGCAAAAATCTAAGAGGGTGTGAGCTTTTCTAAAGACTGATGTGTGAGGTGCGACGCGAGGTCGGTGGTTAAATACCTTCAGCAGATAGACGGGGATGTTGCTGAAGTCCACTGGCAGTTTGAGAAGGAAGCGGGCGGAAAACTCTCCCGTCTAAAGACACAAAAACACAGAAAAATGTGGAAAACTCTGAATGACTAACATCAAAATCTAAGTTTTAAGGCTGAACTCAGAACTTTTTGCATTTGTTTAACTTTCTCATGACATGCCAGCCCATCCATGCTAATACATTTTTATAATTATAGATTAATTTCTTCAGCGTCTAGGTTTAACAGCCCCATTTTGCACACTATTGGTATTTATACATGTTTATATTTATTGTTTGTTTTTGAACCTTTTTTTGTACACAGGTAATCTCTTTGAGACACTGGCCCGTTACACCACGATATAAGCTCATTACTCTGATCTGCTATGGTCTAAAACCCAACATCATTAAAAAATCCACACTTGTCATTTAGTGTTTAGGTGCAAATTCTTGATCCTTATTTTAGCCTTTTTATCCACATTAAGAAAGCCTCTCCACCACCATGCATTGTTAGCTGACACATAATGGGCTTGTGTGCAGCAAAGGGCTTAATTTAAATAGAATTGAGACCAAATAAGATTGTGAAAAAAATGAAGGGAAATTAGAAAATATGTTTTTCATTGCAACAAATATGAAAAAGAGATGCCATAGCATGAGAAAAATAAATGAGTTATCAAGCCTTTTATGCACCACTTAGCCTATTTCATGTTTCCTAACAAACACTTATCGTTGACATTTAATTTGTTTGCATCATCTCCCCTCAGCTTCACTGAAGATAGCTATTTTTAACATTAAAGAGCAAGTCACCCCTACAAGAAACTTACTTCACTCCCACTTCGTGTTTGAAAAATGCAACAAATGCTGTTGTTTGGCAGACCGAGAGGGCGGAGCCGCTAACAAATACACACACACAGGCTCACAATGGCATTATGACATCATAATGTACCAGATGACATCATAGCATACCTCTTAGCCAATAGCGGTGGCAGATTTAAATTCAAATACAGTGCAGAGTTTTTCCCTGACGACGGCGCAACACTGACAGTTTTAGGCAGAATATTTGAATTTTAACCAAGATGCACTGAAGCGCCAAATTATTGACGACACGTGTCTGTAGCACGATTAGACACTCCTTTATATAGTTTGTCAGCAAAAAAAAAAGGTATTTGGGGGTGACTTGCTCTTTAACAACGGTTTATTTCTATAACTGAATAGACGTAACACTAAAGCTCCACTTTATCGTTCAAAAACACGATTGTCAACAACATCCATGATTGTTATTGCTGCATAATTAAAACTGTTTATGTCAGAATTTTCTAATTATTTCAAACCAGCACAAAAAAGAAAAAGTGAAAGACATCATTCTATCATTTGAAATCCTCATTTATTCAACATAAATCCTGTAAAAAGATTCAGGGCATAATTTAAACGTATTTCTCTAAACCACGCTTCATCGGTGTTTAGCTGTACCTTTCCAGATCCTCAGGAGCCAACATGTGGGAACATGAACCCAGACGCATGTTCCGAATCACATGATTACTGGTCAAAAACCAACATTTTTAGCACAAAGAAACAGGAAGTTTTGTTACACCATGTTTCCACTGGACATTTTTGTTGGTAAGGCATTCATACACTAATACTTTGAAAATGTTGATATTGTTGTGGTGAGATGGAAGCTCAAACCAACAGTAAAACTTGTATTTTTAACACCGAACCAGCGGTTCTTACCCAGCTGTTCTTCCGCCCGGCATAAATCTCCAAGTTTCGTCCGTAGCTGGAATCTTCCAACAGGCTGTCGTACTCAAACAGCAGCCTGGAGCTCTCACGCAGACGGTGGCACTGGTAGTGATGGTACTGCTGGATGAGCTCCTTCACCAGCTGGAGCAAACACTCGGGGTTCCCAGCATCCCAGTGGACCAAGTGCTGAAACACCGACACCAAAAGGTGAAATGAGTCAAACTCCATTATGCCTACATCCATTTACTTCTAGTTGTCTACAGTCAGTTCATAAAAATGATGGGTCCAGAAGGTTAAGTCAGGTGTGTGGCAGCAGAGACACACTGGTGCTTGAAGGGGCAACATGGAAAACATGCAGGACAGTGGTCCCTGAGGACCAGGGTTGGGAAACACTGTTCTAGAGGATACCAAGGTGTCTACGATTCAGGGGCTGCATCCTTCCAAAGTCGTGTTTTAAGGCCGATTGCGTCATAGAGAAGGGACAAGACTGTCCAAATACTACGGATACTCAAAATGCATCTTTAAATGTGTTGTCCTTACTGGCCAGCCCTGTCCGGCGGGAGAAGCTTACACTTTTAGATCTAAGTATAACTGCTGGTACGGACATTAGAAGCCCGATGCAGTTGTGTTGTTCTGGGGTTTGTTTGCAAAATCTTTTTAAATATTTGTTTTTGTCAAAATTATTACGAAAAATCTCAGCTAACAAGCCGTGTTTCTTCATGTATTTCTGCTAAATTAAGCTTGAGCTTCTGATTAGTGCCGTCGTGGTTACGAGACAACAGGACCCGTGCAGAGGTATGGGTGGGAATAAGTTTAAAAGCTTGGCCATCCAAATGTACTTTTTCTTAAAGGGTGAGAAAGGACCTGACCCACGCTGACCAGGTAGGCTGGGTCCTTACAAGGAAGCTACCACTGACACTGGTCACAGCTACATTATACCTCCAGAGAGGTTTGGCTCAGCGTGTCCAAACGGGGTGTGTCCAAAACCTCTACAGGAAGACAGACGGCAGAATCACCTCAAGTGGTTCCTTGTGATGTGGAGGAGCAGCGGCTCTAATGCAGACTCCTTCCAGATGACAAGGCTCCTCACATTAACCCTAAGTCCAAGCCTGGACTACAGACGAAGAGCCTTAAGGCACAATTTAAATCTGGTAACCAGAGGCGAGGGTTTAAATGTAGAAGGACCACTAATTTGAGAGCTTGGACTTTTGGTTCAGCTCCCTCTTAATCACAAAAGACCAAGGCCTTAATGCAGCCAAAGCCTGGCCCACTGGTCCATCTGAAACTCCATCCTCCCGTCACTAAGGCTTTACAGACAGGATAACAAACGGCATCACGTTTTTTCATAATTTTTATTTTGTGTTTAGACTTATGACTAAGATGTCCTCAGGGGAAAAAAGCCACTTGTTTAGTCCATCAGTGCTTGCATATGGTATATCCAGAATAACTATGCAAAGTCATTAAACTTGCAGCTGGAATTCACAGAAGAATGTTGACAGATGGCATCTAAAAAGCCTATAAACTTGAACAACCCTGCTCCAAAAATGTAAACATGTAGAGACAAATAACCAGAAATGTTAACAGGAAGATCCTTTTGCCATTGGAAACATCTGGGGCAAATGCTGTAATGGAAAACGAATTTGTCTAAGGAAAATAAAGACAGTGAATAGGCCAGTAATGGTGAATAGTTCTTGTTATTAAAAGAGCAGAAGGAGAAGGGCTCAATGACCAATGTTGGGGTCGGGACGCCACTGTTGGAACTACACAGGGGGTCTTCAGTCCTCTAGAAAGAGAAATACATTTGTAAAAGGACTGCTGCGTCTAACTTTCCAGCACAACTGATACAAAAACTCAACTAAACTGTCATTAATGTGAACGTGAGCAGAGGCGGTGTTTCTTTACCATCTGAATTATTTAGCTTTTTAGGCATGTTTGTATTTGAAATCAGAGTTATCTGGGGTGGCATGTCTTGATAAATGCTATGTTGTGGGTCTGAAGCTGAAAGGTTTGGGAACCGCTGTTTTCTGACAGGAACACATTCTTTGATGTAAAACAATCTTTCATGCTAAAATCATTTCCTTGTGCAGATTTAAACAATTTTATTTATGTCTTCAAACAGATGATCAAATAAACAAACGTGCTGGATCGACAACCGCCTGCTTACAATTTTTTATTTCTCAACTCATTTTATGTTTACTTATTTAGCAGATGCTTTTATCCAAAGCCACTTATTGAGACACCAATGCAGGAAATTAACCTAACATGCATGTTTGTGGCCTGTGGGAGGAAACCAGAACACCTGAGAAAACCTACCCATTCAGGGGGGAACAGCAGAAGAAGAAGAAGATCTTTTCTAAAGCGCCTCTCAAGATAAAAATCACGAAATGCTTCACAAAAACAAAAAATGTAAAATATAAAAAATAATTTAGAAAATGATTGACTAGATGGGATTCAAACCTGCAACTTTCAACAGTACTACCTACTAAGTGTTACAAGCGAGTGGTTGGAACCAACTAAACGAGAAAAACTGGACTGTTTTGTTCTTTTTACCAAACAAGATGTTTGTTTTTCTCCAGAAGAACCGGTTCATTTACGAATACGGAAGAAAATAGTTCTAATGTTGTGCAAGAAAATTCACGTTCAGTCAAGACAAATGTGTGACTTAGCACTTGAGATTTTATGTTTTTGTGCAAAGTAGGAAGAAAAAGTGAAAAAACAGATTAGATGAGTTTTCTGCCTTCTTAACTGACTCGTTTAAATAGATCCCAAATAGAAAGGAAATGGGTCTTTAAAGAGTGCCCAGTGGACTATTTTCACACAGGTGATCCATTTTCACATAGACTTCAAACACATTAATGTCGAATGACTGGTTTACAAACGGGACACATTTTGTTCCGGACACAGTTCATGGAAAAGGAATGACGACCGTTGTGGGAGCAGCTAAGTGCCCTTTTTGGGGATGACGCTGGCCTCTGACTAGTCGTCAAAGTCAAAGTGTTTTCATTTTTTTACAATTCATTCTGAAAGGATAGCAGAGCCAAACCGGGAACTGACCAACAAAAACACGCAGCATGACAACATTGCTGAAGTGCACAAGTAAATGTGGAGCTGCAGTAGAAACAGGTCGAACTAAATGACCTGCAAATCAACCAACAGTGACATTTAAACGTGCAACGGGCGAGCAGGAAGATGAAAAGGTGATAACAGTTACTGCTAATACATGTGAAATTATGATAACAAAAGCAGGATGTCTCCGACGTGCTACTGCTCGTCTCCACGACGGTCTTTCTGCACAATTTCTGTCAAGAGGAGAAAGCTTCTATTGTTTCAGGAGAGTTGGAAGGGGGGGTGCAGCGGCAGTGGCATGAGGAAGCCAAATAGAGACAGTGACCTCATCATCCTGATCCACCAGCGGTTACCAGCCATGCCTGGATTCCCGAAATGAGGGGGAGACGCAAACAAAGATGGGCATTGTCCAAAAGAAGCAGTCAGAGCCCCGGGCAGGAGGGAGCCGAGTCTGAGGAAGTGCTGTGTCAGGATTGTGACAGAGAATATCAGTGAAACTCCCACTGAGGACGATGGGAGCAGGCAAGGGAGAAGGGACAACACTGTGGAGTTAAGGCAAGTAGGCCAAGGCCAAGAGAGAACTGGACTGAGACTCTGCACGCTTGCTGTCGCTGATGGGGAATAATGATGTCATCCCACAGGAAAATGGAGAAAAAAGTAGTTTAAGTTTACGAGCTAGAACAGAGATGCTCCAAAAGAACAATGGTGGGATTGAGGACCGCGGTGCAGGATAAACATTTCATGGGTAATTACAGCTGTCCTCGAGGTTAGTAGTAGTTAAAATGCACCAGTAGTGGCCAAAGGCAGAGGGGCTGAGCTTTGGCTGGGAAACTCCGCAATAAAGTTTATTTTCCAAGAATAAAATAAAGCTCTTAAAATGACGCTTTAGGCTAAACTGCGAAACGATGTGAGAGGGAAGTGAGTGAGGATGTCCTGAAAGATTTTACTGGTGAAAACAAACAGTAAAAAATCATCTCAACTTGGGAAATTAGGAATAAAGTGACACGAGTTCAGTAACTCAGAATATCTAACAGTAAGAGTTTCCGACATCTCAAACAGATCGTTTTAGTGGTTTCTCTGCTCCAACACACTTGATTCAGTGGTTGGACTGCCTGTGCGGCAGCTAATCGGGCTCCGCAGAAGCCTGTTAATCACCTGCTGACGGAAATCAGGCGTGCTGAAGCAGGGATAAAACTAAAATAAGCTGGATCGGACCTCCAGGACCAGGACTGAGACCCACGGATCTAACACAACCCAGACTACAAAAACGTCACTGCACCGCTAGTCAATGCTTTATTGTAAATGTTTACACTGATACACTTTTGCATCAGAAGAGTATTCACACATACATTATTGAGTATTTTCATTCAATGAACAGCCATGTTGGAACACAGTCTGTGGTCTACTGCAACATGTGTAAGGCAGACCGTTTGACTAGCGGACGTAAAAGCAAAGTGGTATGAAAACAAAGCGCTCTGCCGCATTTTAAAGGTTAAGTAACTTGATAACCCCATGAGAATCTCTCCAAACTGAACTTACTCTTGACTATTGTCAATTACAATCAACCCCACTTATTTTTTTAACCGTTCACTTCAGGAAAAGTTCTGAATCAAATCTTGTTGCAAACAGAAAAGGAGAGTGAATACGCTTAATTTAAGCTGCTTTCCAAGCACAGACCATTCCTCACTCCGCCTATAGGGCCTTACATGGACAAGCACCATCTTACATTGGTGATCTTCTTAGTCCCTACACCCCCAGCAGGTCCCTGAGGTCCAGTGACCAAAGCCTATTGGTTGTGCAGCACCAGGCTGAAGGTCATAGGTGACAGATCATCTGCTGATGTGGCCCCCAGACTCTGGAAGTCTCTCTCCCTGAACCTGAGATCAGTGGACTCAGTGGTCTCCTTTAACTCACCTGTTCAGGCTTTGGTGTGACCTTCATCACCCTTTCCTTGTTCTGCTCTCCCCACCTATTCCACCTTCATCAGGATCCACTGATTTCCCTCTTTCCTTTTCACTTTCTCTCGTAACATTTCCTAATCACAATTGTCAATTTTTTGCTAATTTTAAATATATTTTAATCATTTTCTAAATTATTTTTTATATTTTACATTTTTTGTT